ATCTCTCTCCGTACGGACTGGGTAAGGGTCTCCCTCTCCCCGTTAATAAAATCAATCATTTGCTGCCAACTTTTTTTGATGGAGATTTCTTCACGCCATGCCGGTTATGGGTAAAGTTTTCTTATTTCTGATTTAGAATCTTTAATTATCAGGAAGAAATCTGATGAGCTATGAAGATCTTTTTTACATGTCCAGCAATACTTCACCATGCTGGTCCGTGCAGTTTGATGAATGCGGGGGCATAGTGCAGCACTCCCTCCCTCGCCTGTTATTTTATTCGATGCCATTACAATAGCATGAATATAATAATGTTCATCCCTGCTGGTTAAAGGCGTCGCCGTGCCATGTCAGCCATGAGTGATGCTGGTCTGTGCGGGTTGGTGAAGGAAATGATCGATCCAAATATGACTACCCACCGACGTTAGCTGTGAGTGCCACGGTGGCTAGAAGATGTTAACTACCTCGCCTGGTATGCAGGAGGTTGTGGGTTCGATCCCGACCCTGACGCCTGCTGCTGTATATTTGGAGTTTGCGGTGTGTCTCTCTCCCCATAGTCGAGTGGATTTTTCTCCGGGTCCTCCGGTTTTTCCCTCCACATTTAGAATCAACATCATGCGTTTAGATGCGTTTGGCAGCTATAAATGTCCACGTGATCAGCCACTTCGTTGAGCTATCGTTTGTGGCCAGGTCGCTTCTGAAAAAGAGCTGCGTAGTTCAGTGGACCTTACCTGGTAAAATAACAATGCGTTTGTAATAGTTTAAATAGTAACACATTGTATATTGCTGTACGTGCCCTCTGTTGGCAACGTAGTCCAGCAGCAGCAGTCTACAGCACCTGTGCTGTGCATGGTGGTCAACCCACCGAATCACTTCCCAGGCTTTGAGATCTGACGATAGATCCGAGGCATTCCATGTAATTTGGTCACATGGATACTTGAATGTACAACCGTGGCGTTCCACTATGTGAAAAAAAAAATCAGGTCAATGGTCCTTTGTCGTACTTACAAAGCCCAATGAGTGTGTTGGTGTCGCGCCAATTTAGCCTCGCAATGCCCTCTGGGTGGAACTAATGGACAAACGCAATGTATGTACCCACACAAAAAATGCACGCGTTGGCTTCACACAGTGGCTGATGGGGTTATAATGTACAGTAGTGTAATGTGTTGTGTTCATGCAGTGAACAGTGTTCAACATGAAAGAGCGTGTAAAGTAATACAGTGTAAATTAGCCGTGTGTGAATAATTATGTGTATATGATGTTGTTTTTTGCTCTCGTTAGTTTGCACTTCCCAGGCCTGCAATGTCCTGTTAACTGCCACCACCGTGCGACGCTTTTCCGGCTGTGGTCGTCCTTGAACAGAGCCGCTTAGCTCAATGGGCCTTAGCAGCTGAAATAAAGGCTTGAGTCTGGAAACAGCTGCTTAATGACCTGATGAATTTAGAGAGAAGAGCACTCTGCAAACATGCCATGGTCTGTCAGTCATTAGGCACACAATGTTGACTGAGTTTAGCCTGTCGACAATTTTATACACTCAAGTGACCACGTGCCAAATATTGCCTATAGGGATCATAATCAACTAAACATTTATAGCAGACAGCAGGGTGGCACATCGCTGACACAATGCAAATGCACGGAATTGTCTTGTAACATAATTTGGCTTTATTTACTTTATATTTTTCAAATTTTATATCTTGTTTATTAACTCTTGCTGCTACGTCTGACTACTGGCCGAGTCACCCTTGAAAAAGAGCTGTATAGCTCCATGGGTCATTTACTCGGATAATAAAACGTGTGCCTTACAGCGAGAAGTGCCTGCGTTCGATTCCCAACACGGGCGCATTTCTGTGTGGAGTGTGTACGCTCTCCCCCTGTCACAAATGTATCCTCAGTCTTCTGGTACCCTGAAACAAACAAAAACATACAATGTATCTGGTATTGGCCAAACATCCCAATTTTTTTTTAAATACCTGCAAATAACTAATTTGGGATTTAAGCGGAGCAGAATTGCCTCTACTACCAAACACAGTGAGGCGTTACTGGATAAACAAGCATCGTACTAATTAATGATAGCTACTGCGCTTCCACACCAATCTCCTAGGTCACCATTACCAGCCGTTGTCCATAGTCGAAGGAAGGCCTATCCACACCGTTGCCATCCCGAGGTGGATGCTTCTAGCATCCATCTCACTGCTGCACCTGAGCTGATGTCAGCATCACTCCACACCTGTAGTGGTTGGAATCTTGGACACGTTCCCTCTCTCTTGGCTGCCATTCTGTCACCAGTCTTGTCCACTGGCCATCATTCTACCCTGCCCTGACAACTATTAACTAACAATATCCTATAGAAGTAAAATGATTAAAACAAATGACGTACAACCCTTTGTCACTCCACTGCTGGGCCAGCACAGCGTTTGGGGACCTTTATAAGGAACACTCACATTACAGTGCCACTCCAAATTCAAGATTGTTATTTTTAAGGTCACGCCTCCTTTATTAATTTGCCCGTTAAATCGCAGTCACTGCGAGTTTAAATACGATCCCTCAATATTTACTGGTCGCTAAACAGAGTTGAAAAATGAATTATGGTCAATACATAGATGCATAGTAAAGGCATATATGGAGAGAGGCAAAAGGGGAGGGTATAGAGTAATCCTTATCAACTGCTAAATATAGACAGATCAGAATGACATTCTTAGGTTTTTTTCGGTAAAGTCACGTAGGTAAAAAATGAAAAATTAATAAAAGTAAAATAAAAAATAAAATAAAAATCACGACGTTTCGGAGGCAACACAAGTATCACTTGATACAGCTATCGTGCTGTGACGGTTCAAGTTACTTGATACAGCTATCGTGCTGTGACGGTTCCACCTGAAGACGGAAGCTTGTGTTGCCTCCGAAACGTCGTGATTTTTATTTTACTTTTATTAATTTAAATGTTTTACCTACGTGACTTTACCGAAAAAACCTAAGAATATGAATCATTGCAGTCACGAAAGCTTCAAATCTAGATTAGAATGACATTCTCCGAAGTTGACTTTTACAGCAAAAAGTCACGAATTGAGAGGAGGGTGTCATTCCAAGGACACTGGAACTTTTTTTCCCATTTGCACATTAAGTGGCACCTGGACCCACATATTCCAGGAAAGGAAATTGCAACTCGGGTTTATGAACCCAATGACTTTTCCTCCACTCACAATTGTTTTATATTCGCACACTTGTTACCATTGCATCCTATCTGCCAAGTGCATCATTCACTCGTTTAGCATATTTAATTGTCAGACCATGACTCCATGCAATGTCGCATGCGTTGACCGGCTCAAAGCCACACAGTTATTGGAAAACAAAATTCGTGGAAATATTTACGGGATGTGCCGTATTAAAACAATGCGTTTTATAGAACATTTTATGAAAAACTCCGATTTAATCTCACGATGGTAATAGTACACACCAACAAGGGTGATAGATTGTCCCTCGAAGCACGTAAACTTGGCTGTGAAATGTTGGCAAGGCTCAGTGGCAGTTCAGTAAAGCCTGGTTCCGCGCCGGTCAAAACCTGATCCATTCTGGTTAAAACCTGCAACGCTTGGGCTCCAGGGAGGTTTTCGGCACAGCTGTCCAAATAAATGATTTAACAATGATAAATAAAGAGCCGGCATAGCTTTCGGGGTCACTTGACGATTAAAAGCAAAGCACCGTTTTCATAAGTGCTGATGTCAGCTGTGCCTAATTAAAGCGCCACGGGTTTTCCGCTGCCAAAATGAGGTGCGCGCACTTTCTTGAAATGCGTGGGGCCGCGCGGGCCCACGACGCATTGGGCGGAGCATTGGGTAGTTGAACTGAAAGCTGCGAGCATCTGAAAAGACAAAAAAACACACAGATTTCCGAGAAACTGGAAGGACAGGCTAAAGTCAAAGCTTCATTCAGGGAGTGGAAAAACTGCATTTTCTTTTCCAAATAAAGATTTTAGTCGATGCCCTCCGGCTCCATATAATCTACCCTACACCATTAGCGAGCGCATTTTTCCCCATTCAAACAGTAAAACAGCACTGGCCCTAAAGGCGCCTCGACGTTTCACATCTTCACGAACAAGGCTTTTGTTCGACTTGCGAGAAGGTGTGGGGCTGCAGCCCAATGTCGCGGACGCAGCCCTGACAACTGCTGGCTCACGCCACTGCTGGCAGAAACAGAATCTGTGTTTTATCCTGAAGAAATACGATGAGCTATGAAGCTCTTTTTTTCACACATGTCCAGTAGGGACGGAGACAGAAAGTTACAACAACAAACAAAGAAGGGCTTCCACTGAAGGGAGCTACAGAGAGCCCCCCCCCGCCCCGCCATCAACATTGTATTTGGCCTACTCTTCCATTCTCGCCAGACGTCCTGGAATGGGCGTACCCATACTTTACCCCACAAAAGGTGGTATGCCAGATTGACTAACTGTGGTTTAACCATTTATACTTGTAGGTGGACAGAGATGGGGGGGGGGGCTATTTAAGAAAATTGCACGGTTGTTTCAACGGCAGGGCCGCCGGGAGATGGAATAGAACCAGCGACCTTTGGATTGCAAGTCCCACGTGCCGATAGCTAGTTATTACAGCCACGGTAGCGGCGTGTAGGTGCACACAAAAAAGGAGCGACCTCACTTCAAAGGCTGTGCACGTTAAAGGCCATGTCTCTTGTCCCTCGTGTATCATTCGTGAGTCCATCATTAAGCTCCGTGAAGACAGGCGCCGAGGCAAGCGCATTACGGGCCTCTGTCGAAGTGGCAAACAAAGTGTTAAGACGAGAATGACAGATACTCATAATCCGGCCCTGGCTTCGTGTCTCTTTAAAGATGTAGCAGTAACAATGCGAGAATTCACCCGTGAGCTTATTGCAAGGAAGCCCTGAAGAGCAGCTCCAATGGGATTTGTTTGAAGTCGACGAACAACTTCCTACAACCCAACTCCGCCGCACATGTTTCAGAACAAACCCCTTCCAGTTGTATTTCAGACGAGCAGTGAATTAAATCGTGCTTTTATTTAAATCCGCCAGTACTGAATAAATTTCAGGGTTTTTTTTTCTCTTTAACACAGTTGCTGAGCACAGGGCCCAAAAGCCCAACGACATGACACGGCCAGAAACAAGCAGCACTGTCGAAAAGATGTAATATATCGGGAGTTAGCACGTTTCCTGGGAGTGAGCAAGGTTATCCTAAAAGAGATTGGGGGAACAAGTCGAGCAGTGCGAGGGAAGAGGCAGAAAGAGAGGTGATTGTGACCAGCACTGCGGCGTTGGAGTCCAGGACAGTATGGATGAGACACAAAGTCCTCAACATTGGTGCCAGATTGTAATAAAACAAGAAAAATTCGATTTCAGAAAAAAATTGCTCAACAGTATTTTGAAACATCAAGATACACGTCAATGTAATATCACGGAGGCAATAACGATACAAGGAATACCACAAAAACACATGACAGCACTTGCGAATGGTTCATTGGAATACAGGGACGGGTGCGTGTGAAATGTAATCGTGAATGGATGAACTCCCGACTCGCGTGTCAAAAACGCAAACACAACTTAAGAAATTTTTATTTAAAGCTTTCGTGACTGCAGGGATTCATATTCTTGGTTCTTTCGGTAAAGTCACGTAGAAGGGAAATAATAAAACAAAATATTGTTTTATATTTATATTATTTTATTATTTCCCTTCTACGTGACTTTACCGAAAGAACCAAGAATACAACTTAAGAAATTGACATTTGACTTCCCCCGTGGGTTTATTTTGATGCCGTTGACCCAAAGGCACAGGGGCCTGTTGTTTGTGTGACTCGCTGCTTGCGTGACTTCCCCTTATTTTTGAGACGTGCCACTGTTGCGTGTCAATCAATCACAGTTGACATCGACGCTCATGGAAACACGCTATGTTGTTTTTAATAGATGGGTTACCACGAAAGCAATGCAAGCGCTGTATGTATCGTGTTTTTAAATCCTTTATATTAAGTTCAGTTGCTTGCTTGCTTAGGACCGTGCAAATTTTTCGGTCGTTTTTTAACCCACTTCCCGTGATCCAATCGAGCTGATATTTTGCACACAGACTCGTTGTGCGTGACAATGCATTTTCGTGAAAATTTGTTCCAAAATTTTACACTGTTTAGGGAATTTTTTAAAAATATTTAATTACCAATTGCTTAATGATGGCAGACACTCATCTGACCCATAGGTGGCAGCCATCTCAAGCCAGAGGACGAGAGGACTCTAGCCGCCCCGATGCCACGCATATAAAAGATTTATAGTTAAAAACTTAGTTTTTACGGGTTAATTTTTTATTGTTTATTTAGTCCGGACAACTGTCATTGAGCCCAAACATGTTAAGGACCAAAAGCGTGTCTAGAAAATGTGCTTCGTAACATGACACTGACGGCCCAGCTGGGATCAAATACTAAGACGCATGGATGTACTATTTAGGTCAGGCCGTGATGCAGGCCATGGTTGAGAGGGTTCGTGGTTCTGGTGACAAGGCCGTGGTTGATTCCGATAAGCTGAAGAAGCGAATAACTTTAGACTTTGGGCGGCAGGGTGGCGCAGTGGTAACACTTGTAATAATATAATAGTTCAATTTGTAACGCGCGCAAATTTGCAGACGTAGTGGCCTGCAACTCACAGTAATACGCACCTGGGTTCGACTCACGACTCGGGCGCCTTTCTGCGTGGAGTTTGTACGTTCTCCCTGTTGTGCATGAGTTTCCTCTGGGTTCTCCAGTTACCTCCAAGAGTTGTATTTTTCTCTGGGTAAACACTATTGCATAGTTTTCAAATGTCATAACTTATCAAATGCGTAACTTATGCAAGGCAAAACTTCTACATTGTTGGAAATTAATCCACCACTTATAATTGACAATGGCCTTGTATCTAAATTACTTTGACATCCACCGATGAATTTGGAATTGGTGGTTTATGATAACATAGTACACCAGCATGGGATTGTGGTCTTAAACGGAGTAATAAATATCATTGGTGACATTTTTTACAAAGGCCCTTCTTCATAGCACATAGTCTTGCATCAAATGTTCATCTATTACAATAATCTCATACATTACAATCATAATCATTGCTGTATTAAATTACACAACTCCTTTTTTAGCCAATAAAGCCTGCGTTTCAATACTATTTCGCAGGAAGGGTCTTGCATTGGGTATTGAATGACAAAAATAATGAGAGGATTATATTAAACAATTTGTATGGATAGGTCAGCAACATACTCGATGTACTGTACTGTAATAAACTGGCTACATCAAACTGTATTTAAAATGAATCAAACTGGGCAAAGGTAATATCCCAACTGGATAATCAGTCAATAAATTATTCAGTTTATCTTCTCCAGAAAGCCAAGTAATTTGACGCAGGGGTCTTCAATTCACAGCCTGTGCCAGCCTAACCTCGTAACCCCTGGGCAAAGATGCAGGCTACGGATTTTCAGAGCTGTGTATGACTATTAAATATTTAAAATTGTACAGGTATTTTTCGGAAGCAACCATGAGCAGAACGTGCAAACTCCAAATATACAGGCGTCAGGGTCGGGATTCAGCCCACGACCTCCTGCACATCAAGGCGAGGTAGTTCACATCTCCCCATCATGACACCCCAGACTTCGGAGACTTTGACGCTGAGAAGCAGAATGTAACAGGGCAAAATCCAAGACCACAATAAAACCTTGAAACATCTTTCGCAGTTCCGACGGTTATTATTTCGTAATTCTATAATTACCGGATGCTCTGGATGATAAGACGCTGAAAATGACCGGATTCTTTGGATTATAAGACCCACCCCGTATTTGAATCAAAATGCTGGAAGTGTGTCTTATAATCCGACAGGGTTGGGTGTGTGTTTGTGCGTCACAAGATGTGTATAACCTAATTGATACCGGGAACTATTTTTTGGTGGACCTTACTTTCCAGTGTTGTGTAATCTGGATAATAAGGTAAGTCAACATTAAGCTAGAGAGAGAGAAAAAAAATGCTGCTTCAGAATCCACGATTCTCAGCCCGTCAACATTCTGGAGTTGTAAAGTACAAGTAACAGCCGGGGAGCAACCACCCAGTGACCATGGCGAAGGAGAGAGGGGGGTGCGCGGGACACCCACAGATACCACTCACCAGAGGGGCTTGTCATGATGCAGCACGCTAATTATTGCGACACCGCTCCTCCATCACGAGTAACAAACAAAAAAACCTCGCTTTCGTCAATTACACTGCTTTAAATGAGAAATATATGTAACAGGCGACGTTTCGTGCAATAGCCCTTCGTAGAACATTAATGATACTGCAACACAACGTACAACTGCCCCCTGGTGGTAATTCTTGGCAATCATGCAACGGGAACTTTCGATTTAAAGTTTGCAGAACTAACTTACTTTTACGGGCTGAAACAGAAAAGTGCCTATTATTTTTGGGGTTCATTCAACGAGATCGCCAGTTTAACTCCGGCTTTATTAAACTCATTGGCAATCAGCCAATGACCTATCCACTGTTGAATGCCTCGCAGCCAAGTCCATCTCTTGCGGACTTGCAATGCAAAACAATCCACATTGCATCTGCAAACAAGCTGTTTGCTAAATCTCCACTACGGCCTGCTGCTGGCTCTTCCATTCCTTGGCTGCCACGCCGTCTTCAATCCTCAGCACCGCCATCATCACTTTAACACGAAGGCTTTCGCGACCAATATCCATAATAAAGGGGTTTTTTGGGTTAGATCGTGTAAATATGTCGTTAAACCCGCCACCAACGCTCATGAAAACACATCAATCATCTTGACAGCGTTTTATTAAATTATATACATGAGAAGTGACGGTTGCTAGCAATTACTTACTTTTTCAAAACCACTGCTACTTGCCTGCCAATTTGAACCTGTCACCAGTCCACAGCATCTTAAAAGTTATACATATATAAGTAGATAACACAAGCTGATAAGCACATGCGACCGACAAGTGATCTAAACAGTAACAGGATACTGTGAGTCGATGTGCACTTGGAGGGCAGCCTCAGATGCTGCGTACAAGCTTCCACATTCTACGGAGCCATTCCGGCAAAGATGAGCTCCAGTGCGGCCTGGATGTCCCCTCCCGTGGCTTGCAGCGCGCGTAGGCTCAGCCCATCGTCGTGGATGCCCATGGCGCGGAGCTGCTGCAGCTGCGCCCTCCACTGGGTTGGCTAAAACACGGAAACGTCAAGGCAAGGCATGGCATGCGGTCAGAGACAGCGCAAACAGATTCAATTGCGTACACACTGAACATCCGCACAAGGTATGTACTGCAACTCCGATTATCGCGGTTGGCTAGGTACGGTGAAAAAGAAGATCAACATCCATACGTACTGCAGCAGCCCTACAATTGCTTGTTCCTGCCACAGCTGGAAGAAGGGCCTCTACCAGGGGAAAGCCCTACAGAGTCCCCCCCTGGAGGGTATGTGGCCTACTCTTACACACCGCACAAATTACACGAATAAAAAGACACCATGGAAGAGTTGGGAGTGCCTACGCTCCATGTCGTCTCACGTGAGCTGCCGATCGATTAACTGCGAGGCACCGAATGATGCTGCTGGGTGGAGAGATGCGGGGGGATTTAAGCCTCACCTTACCATATGAATAAAAAGTGTGCTGTACATGGCCCTTCCCCCCCCCCTCTCCAACCATTATATAAATGGAGTGGTAGCTCCTGCAATCTCTCATTTACTTGATACAGCTGTCGTGGCTGTGACGGTTCCACCTGAAGACGGAAGCTTGTGTTGCCTCCGAAACGTCGTGATTTTTATTTTATTTAACTTTTATTAATTTTAATGTTTTACCTACGTGACTTTACCGAAAAAAAACCTAAGAATATGAATCCTTGCAGTCACGAAAGCTTCAAATCTAGAAATAGGATTTAATAAACTTGGCATGTGTTCAACTGGGGAGCCATGAGAGTGAACTGGCGATCTCTGGATTGCTAGTTCAGCACACTGAATATTACACCATCGCAGCATCAAACAAATTGGATAAAATGTGTTGTTCATTCCAACAGAATTAATTTGGGTTCACACCGGATCACATCAATCATGCCACGTCATAAAACGGCCACTTAAAGCTCACTTAAGTCTACGTGTGTGCTAATCTTGAGTATGTTACACTTATTGAAATGTGAAGTGGCACCACGGTGGTGAAATGTTATCTCCCTCGCCCGGTATGCAAGAGGTCGTGGGTACGATCCCGACCCTGACGCCTGTATATTTGGAGTTTGCATGTTCTCCCCGTGGTCACGTGGATTTTTGCTCCGGGTCCTCCTGTTTTTCCCCTCCATATTTAGAAACACTGCGTTTAGAGTAATTTGCTGCTATATATTTCCACTTGATCAGCCACTTCGTTGAGCTATCATTTGTGGCCAAGGTCGCTTCTGAGAAAGAGCTATATAGCTCAGTAGGCCTTACCTGATCAAATAAAAGTTTTTAAGGTTTAAAGTGACTGTGGCAAGGCAAGCAGGTTTGGAGTCACAAAAAGGGGGTCGAGAAAGGGCTCTATTGCAAACGCCACACACCATGTGACACACCACGTGATCTGAAAATTAAGTTCCACTGGTGGTGTGAACACATTTCGCGTAATGCAAGTAAAAATACCCGTGTCGAACCGCCCTTGTGAAAACGGTTATGAGTATCGTCTTTCTTATTTTGGTCATTGTTGAATGACAAGTAACCACATTATGTTTAAACTCAAATCAAAGTAGTCCTGCCATAACACTCATGACAAGGTTTCTATGCTACGTCGATTGTCAAAGCAAGCACACGCATACTTTAAGCCATGGAGCAAGCTGTAAAAAATACCTTAAACGAATATCAAGACACATCGCAATGTGTCCTTCTCCCGTTGTACAATTATCCATCATATCCATTCATAAGCTAACGCAGCGATAGGCAACTGGCGTCTCCCGATCCGCATGCAGCTCTTTAATCCACCACACGCGGCTCTATCAAGGGGGCATAACGTAGACTATGCAATCACAGGAGCATATAATAATGAATGTCTCCCATGCTGTGCCGAAATACTGTCAATACACATACATACAGATAGATATATGTACTTGGCGCTTTGCAGAACGCATGGGTACTTTTTTGGCTCTTGGTCTGTCAGAGATTCAGCCACTCCTAAGCTAGTGGGACCACCCAATAACAATGGGAATATGCACAATGACTTGTGTTTTCCCCACGCATGGATGCACAGGCAATGAATAAAAGCTGGATGTACACCCGACGACCTACCTGTGCAGAGGGAAGATTGTTGGCTCTGAGAGCATGCTGCAGAGCATGGGTAAAGATTTCTGGACGAATGGCACCGGTAGACGTGGAAGGCTGAGCAGCTCCAAATCCTGGTGAAGGTTGCTGTGGAGGCCTGGCATCAACCACAGGAAATAACAAACAAACAAAAATCATGACACGAAACAGGTTGCTACCGAGTAGGTTCGTGCGGTTGTGTTATCACAGCTCTCCGACTTGTTTTAGAGTTGTACTGCGTGTTGTTTCACATGCGGTCCGACGTTTTGCTCCACGTGTTGTCAGCCTTATTCAGGAACCGAGCCGAAGTAGCTCCGAGCACATGGAGGGCAATGTACGGAATGACACGTGGCTACAGTTTACGCTTAAACGATACTTTGCCTCTCCTTTAATGGGACCGGTGAATTAAATAAATAGGCCAACATGGGTTTAAAATGATGACCTCTTGTAAAGGTCGTATGCCGACTGTGCAGCAGCAGCTTCGTGATCTGGCAGAGGGTATAAAGCATTGGCGAGGTGTGGTGGCATCAATGGATTTGACCATGGTGACCGCATTGTAATTTTTAGGACACCAAGTTGTATTTCCCTGTTAGCCTTAGGAAATTGTTTCAGGAATCGTAAAAGATTTAAGGATTTGCATTTACAGGGCGCTTAAATGCCTCTACATCTCAAAGTGCCTCATCTCAACTATTCCATTTGCCTTGGGCAGTCTTGCCCCCCAGTGGCAACCATCTGTATGGGGCACGAGGAGTGTGCCGCACTGGCCACAATTCTATGATCCCACTGCGGTTGCAAGAATCCAGCAGGAATTGACATTTTTCCACGGGCGATTCCAATAGTGTTAACATTTTAATGCACTTAAATGGAATTCTAACAGGGTCAAGATGTTATCTCATGGAAATTTCTCATGGGATCGTCAGAATAACCAGAAGCTGCTACTGGAGATTGCAGCCTGGGACTTTGTCCATAGAATGCTAATTCATTTCAATGTCGATTCCTGGATCTCAATGAAAATGAATGACGTCACTGCTTTGGCAATTCTTCAAAATAAAACAAATTTATTCCAATATTTGTGATTCAGGCTAAGGATCATGGAAATCAATCAGCACGAGTTCCTGTAACTCCTCTCCCATGCATCATGTCCACTGGGGGTGTACTGCTATAATTTAATTGCCATTTCATATAATTTGCCATCTTATTCATTAATTAGATTAATTTATTTATTTGTCATTTCAGCCAATGTACACTTGCCTCAACACTCTTTGTGCATGCAGTCCTCTCCACCGGACCTCATCTAATCAGTGTGATGTCCTAGTGGTGGAAAATATGACTATGACATAAATATTGGGTCATATTGGGTAAAGCAGAGCTGGGTATTCAAGGTGATGTTGGCAATGGCAGCTCAGTGTCCACTGCAATGGAGATGTTACTTTGTGAATAACTAATATGACATTTTGTTTTTAATCTGGGGTGTTCCTTTGACTAAACTCACATTAAAAGAAATCAAAAGATTACGTTTGCTCTTTGCTTTTACTCATTCACGTACGAGAGAGTTTAAACCGTCACCTGCAGGCCGGACGTGGGGGTGTTAGCGCTGCTTCCCGGCGTGCTGGCAAGCGCCAGGGCTGTGGCCAACTCTGTCTGGGTGATGGGTCGAGGACCGGAGGAGCCAGCGTAGCGCAAGCTGCTCGGCCGTGACGTTCCCACCATTTGCTGGTCCAGTGCCCCGGACTGCAACCGACGATGTGGTATGAATCGGAGTGCCACAGGGACACCGAACACGGGAATGAGTGAGCATTGAGGGTGCCGGACAACAAAATACATCTTCACGTAACCGATTAAGACTGGCCGTGACTCTTGAACTAATCGGCAGATCGCACTGCGCGACAGCACTGTGTATGTGTGATTTAATGTAATTCGTGGCATGGAGGAGAATTCCTTTAATCCATTGTGATGTTGGAGACGCAGTTTTGCTGATCCTATCATGAGCGGGGTAATCAGCGAATTTACGTGGGTAAGAGGGTGATGACCAATAGGAGTTCTACTGTGCATGATTACAGGAACATCTTAATGTATACCCATATGTATAAAAGGGACATTTGTGAATGTGTGTCTTTTCTAAATGTTTAGCATACTTCCCGACATGCAACAAACTTTAAATTTGGCATGTGGGTAGCTTCCAGACTGTACACAATGCAAAAAGTATAAAAATAGACTTTTGTATTTTGGGGGGGGGGAAATAACCATTAAGTGTGTGGCATCAATCCGCATACAGGACTGGCAATAATCGATATCTGCTGAGCGTTTGTGGTATCGATTAAACAGGAATAGCCGATTCTAAAGAAATCTACAACCTTCGATTCCTTTGCGCGATTTCAAGAATCGAATCTTGACGCGCGTGCGTAAGTTTATTTTAATTTAAATTAATGAGGTAATGATCAAAGTTTTATTTTAATTTGTATATGTTATGTTTTTAAGTTTTAAATATATTTTTCCCCCCGGGCAATGCCGGGTACTTCCCTCTAGTCATTATATATACAAACAAAACAGTTGGACAAACGCCCTTCATTGTACAGTACTTTAATTAAACATAATTTAAAGGGAAAACCAGATCTCGCTAAAGTGTGGTGGGTCCTTGATTGTGATCAATGCTGTGAGTGTGTGTGACATTTGTTTGGGAAAACAGGAATAAAACAGTAAAATACCTTTAAATACTAATGTTGAAGGCATTTTAACTTTATTTTTTTTCAGAATGCTAACTTGTAGGTTAACCTTATCTTGCTTTAAGAAAAGTTATCAACTCGACCAACTCAAAAGGTCCATGGTGAGGTTTACCATTCAATATTTAAGCCTCGTAATATTCTTGAAATTTATAAATTAAATTGATGTGACTTACCAATGGTAAAACATTTAAATCCATGGTCACGGAACACAGGTTTAAGTGCTGAAATACAAATACAGTGCCGTTTCCTCACACTTTAAAACACTGCACTTTATAGCAATTAAAATAAAATTCTACCGAGAGCAATATTTTACCTGCGATTGCTCACCCTCCTCATCGTCAGAAAGACCATCAAATGCAAAGCCACCTGCAAGAAGAAACAGAAATCGTTATTACTTGAACACAGCAGATTAATATCAACACGACAGATTAATATCAAGAATATCAGACTGAAGCTACATGGCTCCGTGGTTGAAAGACATTAAACAAGGTGGCCAGGGATGACAACAATTATTCCAACTTGTAACAGCGCAAAGCATTCACTCAACTCTCGAAGAGAGAGAAAAAGACTCAAGAGATGCAATGAACCACGGACAAGCAGGAAAGCAGCCACGTGGTGAGCTGGCGCCAACAATTACACAAGCTTTGCGGTCAATTAGCGAGTGTTTACTTGTGGGAGGAAACTAAAGGACCCGGATAAAAGTCAAGCGACTTCCATACAGACGGAAAAACGAAACAATTTATTTTTATTTTTCCAGGTAATGCACACTGAGTTACGTAGTTTTTTGCAGAAGTGACCTGGCCACAAAGGATGGCTCAACGAAGTGACTTATCATGTGGAAATGTAGAGGAGCCAAATACTCTTAAACGTATGTTTCTAAATGTGGAGGGAAAAACCGGAGGACGTGGAGAAAAATCCACGCAACCACGGGGTGAACATGCAAACTCCATCCAAATCCACAGGTGTCAGGGTCGGGATCGTACCCACAAACTCCTGTATGCCAGGTTAGGTAGTTAACATCTCGCTGCCGCGGTGCTCCACGCAATCACAAGTATATACACGGACACACGAAACAACAGACTTTAAAAAATCGTGTCCACGACACTTGCCTGGAATGTCGTAGCTGGCCGACGTAGTACGTTGGCGGGCGGAGGCCCCGCTGCCAGTTAGCGGCGTGCTGCCAACGATTGAGTGAAGCAACAGGACCATGGCGTTCACCAGGGCTGGGTGCGACGCAATCAGCCTGCACACGGGCCGCCGGCGAGCGAGAGAGAATGTCAGAAGGTAAAGGCACAGCCCTGCAACTGCTTGCTCAGGGCGCTGCTGATGGGAAGGGCCTCCACCAGAGGGGGCATCTCGGAAGGGTATTTTGGTTCTACCTTTGCATGCTGGACAAAAATCTTGGAAAAGATGGGAGTACCCACATTTTACCCCACCACACCGATGCACTCATTTATACTGCTGGGTCAACAGGCCCGGGAGATCGAACAGGCAACGTATGGATTCCAAGTCCAGTGAGCTAAGCATTGAACCATGGCAGCAGCACCCCAGAGAGAATGTGCTGAGAAACATTACAATTACCGTGTCCATCATGTGAACAGTTTAAATTGGCAGCCCTCTGGAGGTGATATCTGATTCTAGGTGCCAGTTTTAATTTGGATCCAGTGTAATTTTGTATATTGGGTGCACAAGTGTGGAGGGGATAAAAGTTCACGAGCACAAGCATCGCTTTCTCCGAATGCAATACCATCTAGCTTAATTGAGTACGAAAAAAATAGATGTCAGTTTGTATTAAAAAACAAACATGTACATGTAATTGGTAAATAAAAAACGACCATCGTACTTATCCAATAAGCTGGGGTCAGCAAACAGCATAAACAAATCCTTGTCTTGCAGTACTCCTGAAAATGTCAGACACATCATCCGGTTATTATAGAACTGATATTATATTATTCTATCATATATATGAAAAATAAATAGCATTGCTCATCACTTTTGGCAATCCTGTGACTGATGAAAATACACATTCCTGTGGGGCAACCAGCATCTCCATAAGACAACCATAATTGGCACCCACCACCTTGTACTCATTTCACCGACTCCAGATTAATGGTATGGGCCGAGTAGGCTCAATCAAAGTATAAGTTATCCCAGACATGCAAAACATTAACTCTGCTGTAAAAGTTCAAACACAACATTACTGTATAATAAAAAATTATATGTAAAAAAACAGCTATACAAAGGATACATATTGCCCGCTTATCTATTTTGTAAAAGTTATACTTGCTTGGGAACTAATATCAACAGTTACAGGCCTTTATATCAATGTCCACAATTACTGAACAAATCATCATGCATTCACTGACTGTGTATCCATTGGCATCAGTTACGCATTATAAAGAAGTGCCAATACCCTAAAATCAAGCATCATATCTTTTTTCCTTTTAAGGAAGTGTTGATCATTGTATTGAGTTTTTTAGTATTTTCATAAAACAATTTCACTTTATAAGGTGCACAATGATTCCCCCTCGTACACACTCTGGCCATGGTTAACCAGAAGCGAGCTGGAGCAATGGCCTGTGTCGTCATGTGTGTTGCCAGTGTGTGGCAGGAGAGCGCTCGTTCACGAGGACGCCAGGTTCTCAACACCCGGAGTGCCATCAGAAAACAGTGGCATCAAGGGACTCGCGATGGCAAGTCATTCGTGTGCCGTGACGTCTCTTGCCTCACTTGACCACATTGCCACATTGGTCTACTACAGGGGTCAGCAACCTGTGGCTCCGAAGCTGCATGCGGCTCTTTATAAGGACCGCTTCCTGAAGTTATTTATTAAGGAATCACCGTCTCATAATCGCGTGCATTGTACGGCTCTCGAAATAGAGTTTTTTTTACCGAATTCGAAAAAAATGCCTTTTCTTGTTATCGTGGTTGCCGTCCCCTGGTCTATGACCAACCAAACATAAAAAAAACTGTACTAACCTTTCAAAAGCCCTACCTCGCATACGATTACTTTTTAAGCCACATTTTCACCTCATAAATTGAAAACTGAATTTTTTTAATATTGCTCCTACCCAATTTCTGACTACCAAGCCTGCCTCTGACCAAATCACTCAAAATACGTTCAAACGTGTGAGATCTCAAAAGCTAAGCAAGGTTCAGTCTGGATAGTGTTTGGATAGGGAACCAGCATGCACATGTTTTATAGGCTGCAGTGTTGCTATGTTGGCTCAGCAGAGGGCAGCTGTATTTACATGTTCTCATATATGCTCCCTACCTTCTCCAAACTGACCAGAGTGGTGAAGTGTGGTAAATAACCTCACAAGGCATGGGGAAGCCCAGATCCATAAGTGGATCGACAAGCCGGTGTAGCTATTGAGGCGAATGTAAATTGTATTCTTGCGTATGGAAAAATATTCAGGAGCTTCTCCGATTAGCACGGTTGGCTACGCATGGTGAGAAAGACGTTCAACATAGATATTGATTGAGGTTTGATGGTGAGGAGAGGGCTTCAGGATAGTTTCCTTCTCCACTGAAGGAACCGAGACTACAGTGGTTTACTATATGGTCCATACTATAAGGTTGCATGGCCAGTCGCAATGCGGCTTGTCTTTTAATTTTCCATTCATGATGAAGTGAAGTGGATGTAAATGGAAAAGCCACGCTCCTCACCCAGGGCGATTGGATCATTGCTGAGTCCAGGTGTTGCAACGACCAGCTGATCCAATGATTCTTTGCTATTCAGAGTTTTGAATATCTGTCACAGAGGCGAAGGTTTACTCTGGTATTATACAGAACACAAGCAGATGTGCAACGTGTTACATCATGCATTCACTTGACCATATGCTCAATAACAGATGGCCACCAACACAGTTATACATGTTATATGAAGATGATTGAAGACAAACAAGCAAAAGTTATTTATGCTCGAGTACAAAACATGTGTAAGTCATTTTAAGGTGACAGCACTGAATAAAATAACAACACATTTCAGTTTAAATTCAATCTTGTAACGTCTTCACATGGTTTTTGGAATTTGTCACTTTTTTATGAAGAGTACACTCTAAGACATGTTTGATGTGACTGCCTATGGAACTATGAACAATATCAACTTTGAAATAACAACCAGCATCTATTAAAATATGGGTAAATGAAACAAACTGCATGAGCATCTATACATTACGATGATTTTCATTAAAACATATACATGTTAAATTATGAATGTACAAAGCAAAACAAATAAAATGATGACTCGTTTAGTATCAAGGTAGTAATGTACTCACAGCTTCCCTGTGAGTCAGGCTGGAAGCGATGGCAGAATGCAGGAACCGCAATGCCCTCTGTGCCTCCACTTTGTCCACCGGTTCTGGACAGAGTTGCAACACACACCGTCACACACATCGTCACACACAGGCTCTCCTGCAGGCACATTCGCTTGTCGTTACAAACGTGCGTTTAGATTTTTAAGGGATTAGTTGGCTGCTATAAATTTCCACATGATAAGCCACTTCGTTGACCTATCATTTGTGGCCTGGTCGCTTCTGAAAAGTGACGCTAATAGCTCAGTAGCCTTTACCTGGTAAAACAAAAGTTTATTTTTATATTAGTGATTTTGCTCGCCTTTCCTATACTTTGCACTCCTATCCTGTTTTTTGCATTGTTTGTTGCTGTAACGTCCTGACCTGACCCTACTGGACATTCGTAACAAACATTTTTTTTTATAGCTCATCGGATTCCTCCAATAAAAATAAACATTCTGATTCTGATGATTCTACTGCTGCTGAACGACTCATCGAGAGGAGCACACACCGGGGCGGGCCGTGGGCTCAGGCCACGCTCTCCGCAGGACGTGGACCGTGGCCCCGGGCCGCACGCCGCACGACTCCAGGCTCTGGCTGTCTTGGAGCCGTTTCCCGCAGAACACCAGGTCTGCAAAACAAGTGGGCGCAGCATGCAAAACACACACTCTCAACTACAACAGAGCTTAGCCTGAAAATCCACATTCGACACTACAGTAAATAAGTACAATTGATGCTAATCGCACACAATGCTATAAGGAAGATACTAAGTTTCCGGCACTGCTGTTCCTGCAGATTTTGATCCAATTATAGACCAGGTTTTCCTCCAATCACAGGCCTTCTTGAATTGTGTTGAGCCATTAGGTGTCCTTGCCAATCCCAGCTTCATTAGGGATGAGTTGATGAAATATGAAGGCAGGCTGCTTCTGTAGTTTGTGTGTATGGTTAAGGGTTATAGTTACAGCTAGGGTTTACAGTTAGGTTTGTATCAGACTGGGGATTAGGGTTTTGTGGATTCGGGTTGGGGATAGATTTGGTAAGGTGATGATTTAACGCGAGGGGTTAGGCTTTGGGTCACCTTTTACAGTTTAGGGTTAGGTTATGTTTACAGTTTCGGGATTAGGGTTATGGGATTATTGTTATAAGTTAAGGTTATGTTGGGTAAGGACGTTAGGTTATTGTTTAAAACTCGGGGTTAAGCGTATGGTTAAAGGTTAGGGTTAGGATGTTAAGTTATGGTTGAAGGCTAGCGATTAGGGTTAGAGGTTATTTGTTAATGGTTCGGGTTTTGGGATTAAGGTTTTGGGTTAGTTCAGATTTATGGTTAGGGACACTAGTACCTTAAGACTGCTTCTCTTATCATGCACCAGCGGGAAGAGATAAACAATCACTAACTCATTATGCATAGTCATCGAAGGGCCATTGCGCCAAACGTGTGACTTCTTGCTACAGCATTCTCATAGACTGCTCTCGCTGACATACACTGGTGCCTCGAGTGATCCCCGTTTGATCCCACTGGTATCACGGGAGGTGGGGGGCTACCAGAGATCGTCGTCCCGGCCTATTTGCTGACTCACCCCTGACCCGAAACCGTGGCAGGGAGAGTGCGAGCCAGGGCTTCCCATCAAAACACGCGTGAGTGGAACAACACGAACCCCAGTTGGACAGCAGAGTTGCCATGCAGCAGCTACTGCATGTACCTGGTGACCTGAGTTTTATTCCGGCCCGCAGTTAAGAATCAGTGGCGGGCAATACCTGAGCCTGTCCCCGAGTCGCTGGCCCCAATCACTAAAGCGCACTGACCAGCGTGGCGAAGTATGGCCAAAGAACGCCAGTGACCGACACGTCGTGTGGGAGGGCCTCCATCCAGAAGTGGATTGACCATGGCTGATGATGATGATGCTGCTGATGATGATGACACATACGAAGTTTGCTGCAATGCAATGTTGTTGCTACTCACATGGAACGTGGGGCCAACGTGGCATGTTTACTGGGCGAATACCGTAACCAGCAGCACACGACGGCACGAATGCAAGGCCGCGGTGAAGGGCCGCGATGGAGGGCGCAACAGAGTGGAGGGCCGCAGTGAGTGACCACAGTGAATAGTCACAGTGAAAGGCCGCAATGACAGGCCGCAGTGAAGGGCCGCAGTGAGTGGCCACAGTGAATAGTCACAGTGAAAGGCCGCAATGACAGGCCGCAGTGAAGGGCCGCAGTGAGTGGCCACAGTGAATAGTCACAGTGAAAGGCCGCAATGACAGGCCGCAGTGAAGGGCCGCAGTGAGTGGCCACAGTGAATAGTCACAGTGAATGGCCGCAATGACAGGCCGCAGTGAAGGGCCGCATTGAGTGGCCACAGTGAATAGTCACAGTGAATGGCCGCAATGACAGGCCGCAGTGAAGGGCCGCAGTGAGTGGCCCAGTGAATAGTCACAGTGAATGGTCGCAATGACAGGCCGCAGTGAAGGGCCGCAGTGAATGATCGCAATGAAAGGGCCGCAGTGAAGGGCCAAACACAGTGTAGTGGCCTGCAGTGAATAGTCACAGTGAATGGTCACAGTGAATAGTCACAGTGAAGGGCCGCAGTGAATGGTCACAGTGAAAGGTCGCAATGACAGGCCGCAGTGGAGGGCCGCAGTTAAGGGCCGCAATGGCTGAACGCAACGAAAGGCCGCAGTGAAAGGCCATAGTGAAGGGTCCCAATGAGAGGCCCCGATGAAGGGCCAGCCACAGTCGAGGACCGTAGCGAAGGGCCACAATGAAGGGTTTACAATGAAGAGTTACAGTCGAGGACCGCATTGAAAGGCCGCGATGAAAGGCCGCGGTGACGGGCCACAATGAAGGATTACAATAAAGGGCCACAATGAAGGGCCACAATGAAGGGCCACAATGAAGGGCCACAATGAAGGGCCACAGTGAAGGGCCACAATGAAGGGCCACAACAAAAGGCCGCGTTGACGGCCCAGCAGCCACGGGTCCCCCAGGCTCCGCCGTCGTACCGATGAGCACGGGGGCCACGTTGATCTTGCGAGCGACGACCTCCTTGGCGGCGAGGGCCGAGTGCTGGAGGCTGACGTCGGGGCAGGCGATGCGGCCCTCGCTCAGACGCTCCGCCACCTTCACGCAGATCCCCTTCGTCTCCATCGCTCCTCCTTCTTCCTCCTCCTCCATCATCATCATCGTTGTCGTCGTCGTCGTTGTTGTTGCTGTTGTTGTTGCCAGAGACTGGCGGCAAGAGGCTCGTCTGCGCCGCCACGCGTCCAGGGGAGAGGTTGTTTTGTGGGCGGTTCGATTTGGAGTTTTCGTGACCGCGTGAATTCGTATTCTTGGGTTTGTTATTTCGGTAAAGCCGTCAGGTAGAAGGGAAGTAATGAGAATAAAGCCTGATAGAAATTCTCACGGCGTTGTCTTCGATTGCGGCACGAGCAATTAAAGTCAGGTGTGAAAACCACAGCGAGAAAAGCCAAGAATTGGTTGTTTCGTGGGTTTTTAACTTCACCCGTCGGGGTCGTTCTGCCGGTAGGGGGCGACTCTGACTGCGGTGGTGGGGGCCGTGGGGGATGAGGGGTTAGGGACCGCCCATAAATGACGTCACGCACATAGGGGGGAGGGGTCAGACATTTGTGACGATGTGTGACGAGAGGGGGGGTTTGAGAAAATGACGTCACATCAAAATGTGCCACTTTAAATAAATATAGACAACACGTTCTACTTAATTAAATAGACTTTTTAATAAATGTTTTCTCCTACAACATCAGAGTGCAGCGCCACATTAAATACGCACTACAATGACAAGAGTTTAAAGCGATTTGAAGCATGTTTTTTTTTGGGGGGGGGGGGGCAGAGCTTTGTGACGTCATATTTGAGGGGGGGGTCTGACTTTTTGTGATGCCGTGTGACGAAGGGGGGGGGGGGGGTCAAAAATCGTCCAAAATCGCGTGACGTCATTTATGGACGGCCCCTTAACCCAAATGCATACGCTTGCGTACGGGGGGTCTACTGACAATAATTTGTCTACATTGGCCTTCAAATGAGTCAGATAGTCCGGCGATGGACTTCTCTGTTTGCTTAAACACGTCAATATTATTAATCCTTGATCGTTTCTGTGTGGATTAAATATCGGCCATTCTATAGGATTCGGGGGGGGGGGGGTGTAAATGTCCGCGTGCGTACAGGGAGAGGGGGGTAGGGGTCAAGTTTTGACAGATTTTTGCGGACCTACTCGATGTATGGCCCCTGTGCTCGCAGTCGATATACTTCTCGATATGCCGCCTGATGAAGCTGGTTGCAATCGCCGGAGATACGCCCTACGCCAATTGTAAACCCTCCAACGCACCGGTGTGCTAAAGTAGTAACTAGTAAAAACTTCATTTGGAGCTTTCATGACTGCAGGAATTACTCTTTGGTTCTTTCGGTAAAGTCACGTAGAAAGAAAATAAATGAAATAATTTATTTTATTTCATTTGTAAGGAATTGGCACGTTTTGTTTACGTGACAAACCTTACTAATTGGCTGTGGCGGGTTAAACGACGCATTTATATTTACGCGATCTATGTATAATATTGATCGCGAAAGCCTGCGTGTTAAACGGACAGGATACTTAATTGGAATCATGTCGTTACGTGCTTGTCAATAATTATCATCACATGCGCTTCTGCGGCCGTCTAGAACGCTCTTCCTTCCGGTGTGCGTAAGCCACTGGAGCGAACCGCTTTTAAATCATCTAAATTGAAAACTCGTTTCTTGAGAAATTATTTTCGTGTTTATTTTGTAGTTCTCTCGCACCTCCGATTAGTGCGGTTGGCTACGTACGGTGCGAAAGAAGTTCAACATACCTACATACAAGAGGGAGTGGTAGCAACCGCTCAGTGAGCCAGCGCTACCAACAATTGCCCAAGCTTTGCGGTCCTCTACATATTAAGGTGTTATCGGCCAATTCGTGAGTGTGCACGTGTGGGAGGAAACCGGAGGGCACAGAGGCAGAAAATGAAACAGGTGTAATGCAACTCGAGTCCCACGGGCGGGGAGTTTCACGACATGGACGTGATCCGTCAACCCTCTCTGCAGTGGTGGATTACAGGCGTGCATAGCCGCAACCGTCCAGCATCTTACCTCGCGAAACTGAATCCATCCATGCCATTTAAGCAATGCCACCATCAATATGGACAGGGCCGCAGTTGTGGTGGCAAAGCCCAATAGCTGCTGTTTGACAGAAGCATTCATAACAGAGTAAAGCCTCTCAAAGGCAACTGGGAGAAGAGCATTTCCGATTGTGGGAGGACATTCCGGCATAATTAAAATAATTAAACCATTGATATATTTTACTCTTTGGTTCTTTCGGTAAAGTAACTAGGTATAAAATAAATCACGACGTTTCAGGCGCAACACAAGCGTCCGTCATCAGGTGGGAAAGCATGGTCTGCTGCTGAGGCAGACTGTTTTTTAAGGTTTGAAATGGGTGTAGCCCATGGGTCATAAAGAAGTGGCCGGGGCGAGTGATGTTAATGTGAGAGATTAGCATGTAACTGTAAGATGGAAGGAGAGCAGCCTCCTCGATCTATTGTATACAGGGGTTAACATGTTTCTTTCATGAGGTTCTCACATGAGTGCCAGAAGAAGTGGGCTGGTACAATAAGGCATCTTCATCCATTCGCTGTCTCGCTCCACCTCCTCCTCCTCCGTCAGTTCAAGCAATTGAGATGCTGTGCTTTGCTGTGCTCTGGTCTTCCTTCTTGGAGCTCTGATTGAGCCTGCGGTGTGCTGACTGCATCCAGAGTTCAATCGCGGTATTGGGTTCAGAAGGTTGCAGTGGTCAACTTACACGTGTGAATATGCATAAGGGCAGATAGGCACGAGGCTGATAGGCAGGATGTCTTTTTCGTTTTTTTTAAATATTGACGTGGAAATTCTCACTCACAAGAAGCATTGCTTAATAGCAGTGTAAGAGACAACAGCAATAATGTATGAATGTTTAAGTCGAAGTCACGATTGATGTTTAATCACAATATCGACCAGACATTTTCCCTATTTCCTTTAAACGCATCAATTCCCTCAAAACAGGCTCTGTATCAACTGACACAGTGACTTCATATTTCTGAATCATATCACGAATCACTTGCTTGCCAAAAGTGTGGATGTCTCTCGCTCGTCTTTAGGCTAGGTTGAAGGATCAAACGCGAGAACTTATTGCATGAATCTAGAGATTGAAATCTTGTTTCAAATTCAGCAGTTATAACTCTCGAAATATAGACTTTACTACCCCTGTCAGCATCTGCATGTGCAGCTGTTTCTTTTACTGTACTTGCTGTCACTTTCCAGACAATGAAAATGCACTGAACTATTTTCTTGCAAATCCATGTCATCAGTTGCGAAAACTTGGACGTGAATAGCTGGTAAAAAACCCTCCAAATGTTTAGCAACGTTTCATGCCTCCATGCAGACCACCTGACATTGTGAAACTTTCCCAGATGTACAAAATAAATGCCCCTTTGTTCACATATTTTTTTACGTTTCATTTTTTGCATGGCCTTTTAGCGAATATAAACTAAGTACTCTGACAACAACACAGAGATTTAATATCTCAATGCAATCAGCTGATTTTGAGCAATTTTCGAGCGCATAAAATATGCACAAGGGAATCATCCTCGGATGGCAGCGGTGGTCAGCTGACGTCTCCCGAGCCGAATGCGGCTCTTTAATCCACCACATACGGCTCTCGTTCAAAGGGGCATAACGTAGAACATTTCCGATCATAGTAGCAAAGAATAATGAATGTCTCCCATGTTGTGCCAAAAACTATCAATATATACCCACACATACATACACTTTGTTCTTTGCAGAACTCACGAGTACGTTCTGCCTCTTTGTCTGTTACAGATTGCCGACCCTTGCCCTAAGCATCCATGATGAGTTGTTAATGCCAACATTTACTCGGGCACCATCTGGGCATACAGAAACCAGTTTGCTTTTATCCCATTCATTGCCTAATCCCGAAACGTCAAACGGGTTCACAATTCCATTAACAATATCCTGAGCTCAGTGTTTTGCATCGAGCTGAATCAAACCAAGGAAGAATTTCAACTTTGTTCGAAACATTCACAATGTACATGAACGCCATTTCCTGCTCTGTTCGAGTTATGTCCGCTGATTCGTCCAAAATCAGACCCCAGAATGTGGCTGCTTTAAATTCTGATTGCGAGGCTGAATTAATAATCCATGCACCCCCTTTGAGCATCAGTGACGAGCACTTCAAACGTTTCCATCGAGCCGCTTCAAAATGACTATCTCATTCGGAGTTGCGAATAGGACGTGCATGTTTGGCGTCATGAAATAACAGTAAAAATATTCTAAAGAGCGTGGTACTAAAAGCGCGGTACTGTTATTCACCTCCTGTTTTTTTATATGTGCAGTTTGTGCTGTACGTTGAACTTCTTTCGCACCGTACGCAGCCAACCGTGGTCATCGGAGGTGCCATCGGTCGAGTGGACGGCGATCTTTTGGACGAGATTTGCAGCCGACATAACGTTGACACGCTCGGCACTCTTTTCGTGTTTTTAAAACGCTGGATGGCTGAAGTTCCTTGCGCCTTTGCTGTAAACGCTTGTTGTGTTTGCAATAATTGGGCGAGAACGATAACATTTACACCACATTTCTTTCCGCTCAGGGTTAGTATATCCAGTATATGGACTCAAAGCCATTTTTCTGAAAATGCTCGTTACTTGAAATCCAATTCAGATTGCATTTTCTTTGGAGGACCAAATAAATCACTCAATATAGCTGCGTATTTAATTAATTAGGCATTCAATTCTTCACAATCACGATTAGTATGGTTCAGTCTAAAATTGAAAGATTTGTACGTATTACGATTTTGACATCAAAGTAAATAAATCAGACGTATTGAAGTGAAGATCCTGCTACCAAAACATTTAAAGAACACCTCATTGTGGAATGCATCCACGTCTATTAACACTTAAGTCCACTCATTTATTTTTTCAGCACGCATGCGTACCTGTGTTATGTGAACCCCTGGAAATATACATAACTACATTTACGTTCAATGCAAATGCAATTACCACCGAATACGTAATATCTTAACGGTTAAATATTTCAATCTTGATTTGAAGCTTTCGTGACTGCAGGAATCCACTCTTTGGTTCTTTCGGTAAAGTCACGCCGTGATCTATTAATTTTCTATGTACGTGACTTTACCGGTTAAATATTTGCTATTTAATTGGACTCAATTCTGTAGTTTAATCTGAGTCACCATCGCCATGAATCCGAAGTGCAAAGTCGAGGAGTGTTTCTGACGACTCGATATGGCGTATGTATTTGCATAATGAATATTAAGAACAAATGGAGTACTAACACAATGTGGTGTCCAAGGCAATCGTTTCACCTAATTTAAAACAACATGTCATTAGAGTTGCTTTTGAACAAACTGACATCAAATTGTTCAGTGTTTTCACTGGCTAGGAAGAGCTTCTTTCATTTCCCGGTGTTGACAAGGACATCTCGAATTACTTTTAACATAGTGAGCCAAAGAGCTGTACGCCATATCCGACTGCACGTATAATTAGAAACATGCGTTTAGATTCATTACTTGGCTCATATACATTTCCACGTAAGCCACTTTGTTGAGCGATGTTGCCAGGTCGCTTCTGAAAAAGAACGAATAGCCAAGTGGGCTTTGCCTGGTAAAATAGTTTTTTTATAGTTACTCTTTGGTTCTTTCGGTAAAGTCACATAGAAAGAAAATAAATTAAATAATAGAATACGACGTTTCGATTGCAACACAAGCAACCGTCATCAGATAGAACTAAATTTTGAGAGAGACAAAACACGGATACGGAGACACACAAGCAGAGAGAGACAACACAGAGACACAGAGAGAGAGAGAGAGACACACAACATACTCTGCACTCCTATCGTTGTTTTTTGTATTGTTTGTCGTTGTAACTTTCTGACCCGCCCCAACTGGACATCTGTGAAATAGAGCTTCATAGCTCATCGGACGTCTCTAGGATAAATATTCTGATGTAGACTCGTGTGCAGTGTTGGAGGGTTTTTGTTATTGTTTTTTCATTATATATTGAAGGTGGTCTTTCCAGCTTACACCAGAATCCATGTTACGTGAAGTCTAGCTTGGATGTTTTACTGCAATTCATATTTTGTACCCAGCCTCTGGAGGCCACTGGATACATGGCTTGTTTTAGACACTGGGTCTGCCGATTCTTTCGGTCATAAACGTGCTCCTAGCTTGCTGTCCATGACGTTTCACTTCTTTCCAATGCCTCTGCCACTCACACCCTCGATTCTTTATTTGCTTGGCCTTCCTTATCAATAATTACCCTCAATTATAGTGGGCCAGTGCTTGTGCTGGAAGTCGATGGTATATTCGTCTCTTAAATTTGTTCTGCAATGTTCTTTACAAGATAAGTGTTGATATAATCGTTCCCGATCTATTCCGGCCTAGTCGTTTCTACAGGAATGTCATCTCCATCACTACCTACCTCGGTTCATCAGATATGCTCAGTGGTCATGTTTCTAATCCAAATAAGATAGCGGAGGAAAGCTTCAACCCATCTCCACTCTATCAGCAGGGTTCAGCTTTAAGAAGTTGGGTAAATACGATTGTTTGACATGTGGGAGGAAGAGTACGTACCCGGAGGCGACTCACGTATCCATGTGTGCCCATCAACACTGCAATCTCCCTATACTGTGCCTACAACACCTGAAAAGCCCATATTGTCACCGATCCAAGTACGAACCAAGCTCAACTCTGCTAATTTCTATAAAGATCCAAGGACATCCGGTACATCTGTGGTGATTGTCACAAGCATATATAATCTGCCAAATCCGCACGGTTGGTTATGTAAGGTGTGAACGAAGCGCAACATACAAGTGTAAATGGGAGTGCATTGACATCTATAGAAATCATCTGCACCATTTAAATCCAATTATTAATCGTTTCATTTACTTTATTTAACTACTTTTCAATGCAACAGTTACGATACCCAGGTCATGAGTGTGAAAATGATGTATCTAGCAACATTTCATCGTTGCGACATTGCAAGACAAAAATAACCATCCCTGTCATAGCAGCTTTAAAATAATTCCAAATACACCCAGACTATTCTGCATCCAATCATATCTTGGAAGCTTCACATGGTTGACCCTTGATAGTGCAGTACTTGGATGGGTGACCCACCACTCAAAACTGTTGGCCAGTGCTGATGCTGTATGGTGGGTGGGCAGTAGAGCAGCACAATCCACAACGGTATTGTAACGCGCTTCCAAGTCGATGCTCCCCGTTTTCACCGTCGTATTGACCAGCATGAAGTATGGTTAAATAATGACTCATAAAATAAGGGGGAAAAACCTGCCATTTATTTCAATAACACATTCCTGCGGAGGGAGCTGGTAGGAACGTTGGGTTGCTCGGTCAATGGCCAGGGTCAACGGCGGCGTGGTGTATTCCGCAAATATGCCCGACTGTGAGGGCAGGCACAAGCAGGCGTGAGTAGGTTAAACGTTGAGTTTGATAAGGGCACCACGGGGTGACCAGCCCCTCCCCACCCAGCCCCACCCCTCCCACTCCCCACCCAGCCCCTCCCTGCATGACAGACACAATAATCCCCTGTGGGTTGGTGCAACCAGGTTCCTACCAGTATAAATTTAAAGTTAACCCTACCTACAACACCTGAAAAAGTAGGTCCAACATTTGTTCAACAACCAACCATGCACGATTAATCCCAGAAAATTCCAACTAAATTGTATTTCCAAAGTATTGCTTTTGTACATTACTGTAATGTGTTCAGAATTATTTAAAAACAAATAAAGAACACACACGGGGTGGGTGTTTGATATTTATTGTAACTACTGCAAGGAGGTATAAACACAAACATCATGAAACTAATAACCTACAAACAACACCAGTATATATTTGGAAAAAAACAAAACCCAGAAACAAGTTTAAATAATCACAACTATCATAAAAGTACTGCCCAGTGTGACCATGAGCATCAGTCCGAATACCTAATGGAGCAGTGTTAAAAGGAAAAGCAAAACATGTATTCTGCACTGCATTCAGCCAGCCCAGTATTTACTTCCTTTCTCTCAGGAATGTCTGCCGTTGGTATCGAGTCATGCTCAGCAAATAGCTTAGTCCCGTAAGACACAGGGAAACATCAAAAGCTAACGTTACTATACCCTGCATGCATACCATACCAAATCCTAAACCAGTATTTTTCTCTCATAAATGAACGTTGAACTAAAATGCCAAATCCATTTTTATTTGATTAAAAAGTAAAAATTTAGCACGCACAATTTTATTCAAATGCATACAATTCTAAACAACCAAATAATAAGCATGATTAAAGTAAAAACATGTTTTGGGGAATTACTAAGGTATGATTTTCATGGTAACCTGTTATGTATGGTGTTGAGCGAAATGAAATTACATGAACTCGCAATCATGAACATAATGGGTTTTAGTTTGACGTCTGCTCAAACGCAAATAAACTGGTGTCATGGTATAGTGGGAGTAAAGGACATTGCACAAAATACTTTGTTATAAGTCGACTATTTATAAACCAAAGTGCAGAAAATATTACTAGCATTGCATTAAGGAGCGTTGGCTACATAAATAACGTGCCCATATTGGCAGCATCACAAGGTGCCTAATGTAGTAGCAATGTTTTACGGCTGCCTTTTTACGAGGCACCACCAGCACGCTGGCCACCGTGCAACTTAAACGCCAGAACTGGAGTTGGGAGCTGGCTGCAAACACGTTGCGGTGAAACGGGGAGCAGACAGTCACCTGATAATTGAGAGCCCGTCATGATAGAAAACCGATGACAGACTGCCAAGAGGTGATGCGTATTGAAGTCTGTGGAGGAAGTGAGTGCAGGAGAAATAGGCGAGAACAGTTAGGGAAATGTACAATGAGATAAAGACAACGGCTGGGGGACAGGGTGGAACCATTGGAAGTTTAAGAGTTGGGGTTACACCATGCATCAGCATATTCAATCCATTGCATCTGTGGCAGCTTTTGTTTGCTGCTTTGGCAATGACAAATTTAAAAATGGGAGGTGCAAGCCAGGTTTGGTGAGATGGCAGGAAAGTATGCCGAGGAGATTAAAAAGCCAATGCTCTGAGCGCACGTTGTGGATAGGAGAGGGAGGGACAGCCAGCAGGTCAGTAGATTTTAGGTATTTAGGTGCAGTAGTGAAGAAGTGTGTTAGTTGGGAGGTAAGGGCAAGAGTAAAGGGAGACCAAGGGCGAGATGGAAGGATGTGATAGAACGAGGCCTAAGGACAGTGGACGTGACAAAGGGAAGCACTCAATAACGATACAGGAAAAATTTTCGATTTAAAGCTTTCGTGACTGCAGGGATTCATCTTCTTGGTTCTTTCGGTAAAGTCACGTAGAAGGGAAGTAATAAAATAATAAAAATAAAACTAAAAATAAAACTAAATAAAACACACTGGTGGTGTTTTATTTTTATTATTTTATTACTTCCCTTCTACGTGACTTTACCGAAAGAACCAAGAAGATGATACAGGAAAAGCTAAAATCAGAGCAGCCGATCTCATGCATTCAAATTAGACTTGCGATTGAGAAGAAGTAATGACAGATTATTTTCGCGGGACAAAGGGTGATGTCATGGTTATGCTGGCGTGGAGACGACGATGCTTTGGCAGTACGCGCTCCACAAGTCGGCTCCCATCCGTTACTGCCATGGTCCATCACGACCATGCCACCGCCGCACATTTATTCGATGCGACTGCCATCTTCAGCGAATCTTTACTAATGGTTAGTACTATATTTACAGGCAAATGAGATTTAGGATATCAGACATCTAACCACCAGTGTACAAATAAGAAATGTAAGTTCTCATTGAATAGCGAACAAATTATGATTTTAATTAGTAATGACCTAAAGTTAAGGATAATTACTTTAAATGACCAATAATCCCAATTATCTTAAATTCTTAGCACAAATGAGTGAACATGTTTTTTTGTTTAAACAGAAGCCATACTTCCAAAATTCCCAAATGAAGGCGTTTCGTATAGCTCACATTCCCACATTAATGAAAACACGATGAAAACATTGAAGATAAAGGATAGAGTAGGACGCTTGATAATCTCGAGCAGTCGGGGACCAAGCAGCTCGGATTAGCGATTTGTTTGCACCAGAGATGTCGATGATGCAGTGTTCACTGACTAAACTTGCACGACTCAATGTAGAATCAGCATATTGTATCTATGCAATTCAGAACATTTGGGATTGGGCATTGCAACTGATCAGAAACAAAACAAAGATATTTGTGAAGTAGGACATACCGACATTCACTGTCGGACCAGGAAGAGTTATGCTTTTTCGCTTCCTGTAAAACATTCCTAAATACTCTGGACACATGGAGAAATCTACACCGAAATGAGAATATGGTTGTCACGCAGTGCTCTACCACTTTGCACGAGAACTCTCAAAGTTCTGATTTCGAATCGATCGTACGTTTTTACATTGCCTAAACCTTAGACTTACAATTTTCAGACCATCAGTGTTGAAACTATCAAAGTTTTATACCGAGTATAAATCCTGCATGTGGTTAATAAGCTATTGTTTTAAATAACTTGTCAACGAAGGTGCAGCAACACCTTAAACATCCCTTCCCGCGGGGTCATGTGCACGCCATGTGCTGAAGTACACGTGGGCTCTGGAATGCATTGGAAGACTATGCGTAGGTTCCATCCGACAGCAGGGGCTCGTAGGCGCGCTCATTCTCATCGTGCTTTCTTCGGCAGGCGATCACACACGCCGCCACCAGTCCCATCACCTGCAACATTGCCAAGCGTCAGTACATTGCCAGGCTTCAGTACACAGCAACAGAAATACAACTGCCAATATATGCAGTTACCAATTATGTAGGACAAAAAAATTACTGGGAAAGTTTCAATCGTTGCCTTGTGTAAAAGTGTTGGCACCCAATGATTTGTGCATTCTAATGCTGATTTAATGAAATAATACAGCTAATGAAATAAACACATTACCAATGAACCACGTTTCCACTTATATGCCACAAGATCAGCAAGGTATTTCTGTTAATTTGTGGCAAGGACTTTGTGTGTAATGAGCGCGACCCTGTCATTTTTAAATCCTTTATATTAAGTTCGCTTGCTTGCGTGCTTGCGTGCTTGCTTACGACCGTGCAAATCTTTCGGTCGTTTTTTAACCCACTTCCCGTGATCCAATCGAGCTGACATTTTGCACAGACTCGTTGTGCGAGACAATTAATGTTCGTGAAAATTTTTTTCCAAAATTTTACACTGTTTAGGGAAAACAAATTCAATATTTAATTACCAATTGCTTAATACTGGCAGACAATCATCTGACCCATAGGTGGCAGCCATCTCAAGCCAGAGGACGAGAGGACTCTAGCCACCACGCATATAAAGGATTTATAGTGAAAAACTTTGTTTTTACGGGTTATACTTATTTATAAGCATAGCACAGAACTGCAGTAATGCAATTTAAAAAAGGGTTCACTGTACCTGCAAGAATGCAAATCCAACGGCCACTCCGATCAAGTAGGTGAGAATCTGTTGTACTTCGTCTCCCAGCTTCAGCAGACAACCCTTAGGTGGAAAGAAAATGGTAGATGTTGGAATCCATAAGATGAGGATGATGCAACATAGCCCTCTGGCTTTGCAGAATTGATGCATGTCACACATCCTGCTAATGTTTAATCCCCCAAAATATGTACAAGTTCTATTATTGTTTCAAACCCAACATATTTCACTTCTCCAACGTGAACATATTTGCCCTTTTCTATTCTATTTTCAGATGAAAATGACTCCGGCAATGAATTGTATTACTCCTGTAATCATGCGCATCATGTTCAATAGCAATGATAAAAACACACTAAAATTGTAATATAAATGGGGACATAAAAAAGTTGATTGACAAAAGGATTAACAGGTACAGAGAAGTGTTGTCTTGTAGCTAGTAACGATCTCAGTTGAATCCACTGCTGTTGGTCATGGGTATTTCAATTATTGTACTTCACCCAACTGCTCTGTGCGGGTCGTTGGGGTCGTGGAGTGGGATAGCATGGAGGATTGAGGAAGTATTCAAAAATACCACGGATGTCTACCGTGGCTGGAAATCAAACTCAGGTCACCAGGCTTATAGTGCAATGAACTGAGCCCTAAACCAACACGATCATATCGATATGATCATTCGAGCAATTCAATTCAAAAAGGGGTTAATTTCAATATCGATTCCCAGTGTACCCTTAAGGGCACTAATACATTCCATTACCGTTTAGTTGCAGAGTAGGCACAAGCAAAAATAACTTGTTACATTCGCCGACGTCGTCATATTTGTATTCAATGGCGTAAACACCTCGGTGTTGTTGTTCAAAGCCTTTGCCACTGTGAGCTCAACCAGAAATACCTGTTGGTACAGCTTGGCAGGCTGGCTCAGCAATCCGGTGCAGTTCTTGGCAGAGCGCTTACAGCAGCTTACAGGCACACTGTTGTACTTGTGGTGGCGTGCCCACTCAGTGGTGTTCCAGTCGGAGTAGTTCGCAAATCCGCAGCACTGCAGCTGCACAGATAAAATCCACAAGACGGTTTTCAGCGTGTCGCACACGAAGAGCGTTTAACCCATTAAGAGACAAACGGATGAAACGATCCTTCCTATTTTAGGTATAACAGAGACGATCTAAGAAAACAGCGAAAACATTTTAATTAAATTTAACTTAAGGACTTTTCTTTCCATCTTTCCACGGCGTGCCGATGACGTTTTGACCAACAAATATATCCACCACTTATATAAAACACTGCTCAGATACATAATCACTAACCAACAGGAGCAAAAATTCAGATTTATACCCACTGCCTTTTCATATTTGGGTTTTTACACATTTAAGTCGACACGCAGAAGTTACAGCAAATTCATCATTATCTGCTTTTATCCTCGGATTAAAAACACTGATAGAGAGTAATTTTCAAGGATAAATATGGAGAACACGATCCACCAATAGCACGCCCCACGTTTTCACGCAAAAAAATGTCAGTGCACGTGAAGCCTTGAAAGTACACATCGCGCGACGTGCAGCTGGTGGAAGACATTTTTTGCAACGTTTACCTCTTTCTGCATGTAGTCCACAGCACGGCTTTCAGGGTCATAATCTGGCCCCATGTAGTTTTGGAAAGCTTTGTGCATCTTCTGTTGCACCTCAACCTCAACCTAAACGTCAAATGCACAGACGGGAGTATGTGCATTAAATGTTGGGGGAAATGTATCCCACAAATATCTAAAGCAACCACCAAACACACACTTAAACAAGGTCGTATTCCTCTTCGTATTCAGTGACAAGCTTTATAACGAAGACGAACTAATTTTAGTCGGCATATATGTAACAAATAAGGACGACGGTGCAATTGACAGCATACAAGAACATTTATCTGGGAAATACTTGACAAATGACGGTGATATTTTATATAATCACGTAACATGTGACAGCCAATCAAACCGCTTTAGGGATGGGACCATCCCACCAACTGCATGTGTTATGTTCCACTGATTTTTGTCAGTTAAGTGATTAAATCTCACCGAAGTTATGAGTGACTGTATATTTGAAAAAAAAGAACATGTCAAAGCGTGTATTTGCTACACCATTCCAAAAACCTCACTTTCTCCTGATATAAATTAACATTTCTTACACGAAATGTTGAACTTCTTTGACACCGTACGTAGCCAACCGTGGCACGAACCACAAAAAATGTCGAATGAACAAATTACCGGTTAGAAAGTCAACTATAACACGGTGCAAACCCAGCATTTACACAATGCTATTCTTTTACATTTGAAGCCACAACGAAATGTGACATGTGTCGCAAGGGTACAAATGTGACGTAAAAATAGAACGAAATTAATCAGTGCATGCAAATGATCTGAAAATAGGTCACGCAGGGAGTGCATGTGCTGTTCGGCGTTGTGGTAAGGTGGCGGTGGAGTTCTCACTTTGCCATGGTAAATATAGCCAAGCGCCACTGCAGCCACTTCCAGTGAGAAGATGATGAGGAGCAGGAGGGCAAACTGTTGATAGCAGCAGACCATGGGGAGGAGGGAAACGTCAATCCACGTGAGCATTTCCAACGTGTCAGCGTAGCAACAGTATTATTACACGTCTTATAGGTAGAATACAAACAAATCCCCACAGAAAAGGATATTTTCAGCTTTTAAATTAGTTTGGATGTAACACGTGAATTACATTACTTGTGTGAATAGAGGTAGGATGGTAAAAGCATTGGCGAGAGTCAAGTGAAAATAAGATGCAGTACACAAATGGTCTAGTTGCCTCATAGCCAAGTTATCTTTTGCCACCACTCATACCAATGGGAACACTTATTTCACATTGTCTTAGCACAGGATTTCCCAAACTCCATTTCCTCGTGCTTTTTCAATTCTCTCTTAAAAAAATAAATTGTGGTTAAACGCTCAACGCACCCGATGCTTGCTTAACACGTCCCACGTGCCAAAGAGCACGCAAATTGCATTTAGCACTCTCTACGGCGTCATGTGGGTGACAAACACACAAGATCTCCATCTTGAATTTAATCAATGCTCACCACTTAAGCAGTGTTGAGCAATCATCATGCAGTGCAGCGACATAATTCAAATGGAGGTACATTGTTGAACTCATAAATACCATAGCATGGTTGGCGCTGGCAAGGAATGGAGTTTGGGAAACCCTGCCTTACATTAGCAACCTGTAAGCAGCAGATCACATGTTGGGCTGTCGCTCCAAACCACTGCTACTCTAGCTTAGGTGACAGTATAGACAGCATCACATTACACAGCGGGCGTGCACGGGGGCACACCATCTTGCTCGCCAGCGTTGCGCAGCGACGCTTACGGTAGCGAGGGCGCAGCGGCTCTCCCTGACAGCAGCCCAGCAGCCGATGACGCCGATGAGCAGCAGTACAGCTCCGGCCACGATGATGGCGAGCGCCGGCAGGATGGTGTAGCGATCCTCAAAGAAGTGGTCGTAGCGGTCGTAGGTGATGAACACGTAGGCGCCAGCATAGCAGAACACCGCTGCCGCCGCCTGCATCACACACGCAGCAGCAAAACGTTTGGGGGAAAAAATATTTTTTTGCTGATTTGGGAGTCATGGTGGACTAGCACTAACGGTGTAACGTAATGGACAGGTGATAACAATATTGGTCGCGAAAGTCTACGTTTTAAACTGATAACGATAAGCTGACGCATGGACTCGTGTAGATTTGTAAGCTCACAATACATGCATCTAATTGCTTGCGTACGAATTGATGTTTTCCGATTCAGAGGCGACCTCTGCCTTGCAAGTCCAGCTTGCTAACCATTACTTCACAGCACCTTTACTATATGTTGTATGTAAACTTCTTGTGAACCCTTCAGCGACTGCGGAGGCCGCTACATTCACCACTGTTAAAAAAAATAATTGTTCTTGAATGGAACCACAATCGTGAATAGAAACTACTTTCTGATTCACAAGGGACGTGAAATGTTATACATGAAGTCCTCGACTTACGAACCCACTTCCATGAGATTTTTTAAAACACCAAACGGAAACCTTTTACAAGGAATCATGTCTGCATTAACCACAATTCTTGTGGTCAGAATGCAAACAAAAAACACTAATATATGCATTGTCCTTGAAACTGATTGGTCCACACCAGAGACAGCTTTCTTTTGAGCCTCGTCTCAAGCGGTGTTAGACCACACCAAAAGGCGTACAGCCCAAAGACAATACACTATCAGAGTAATGAGAGCTCGGGTCAGCATCTACATCATGAAATAATCGCCTTGTGTTTTAAAAATAGCATGTGCCTAATCTTCCCTGGACACTGATATTTAAAACACCAGGCTCGCAAAACACATGATTGCTTCTCAATGCTCTCCGAGGAAATATGCTCAAATTGTTAAAGCTGCTCCTGCTGTACACGGCCACGGGGATCATGAGTAATATTCCGAAATTTAAATTGGCAGGTTCGCCACCTGAGCATACCATGCTATGCCAGTTACAAACTCATCATCTCACATTAGCTTGTCAATGTGAGTTAACAATGAGAAAGCAATGAATAACAACTGCTTTGCTTGAGACAAAAAAAAGCTAAATTAATAACGTATTGAACACGTAATCTGTTCAAAGGTCCACATTTAAATTTCACTAAGTATTCTTGGGTTTTTTCGGTAAAGTCACGTAGGTAAAAAATTAAAATGAATAAAAGTAAAAATAAAAGTAAAATATTTTTATTTTACTTTTATTAATTTTCATTTTTTACCTACGTGACTTTACCGAAAAAAACCCAAGGATATGAATCCTTGCAGTTACGAAAGCTTCAAATCTAGAATTTCACTAAGTGTTTAAAAAACATTTTTACGTAAATAATTAATTACACATATGAACAAACACCGCATACATTTTTTTAATGCAGCCATTTATGGGACTGTATTCTCCAAACTGTTGTATGAGGGCACTGACCACCACGTGATGAAATAGCGAGGTATTCGCTGCCAAGCGGTGAAGTAGATAAATACCTTCCCCAGCTCCTGTATAATTAATTAGAGTAATGCATGAAATTACAGACCACCTCGATCCAGTCTCATTGTAACCAAGTCTCATTACCTGAAGCGTTCCTGCCCAGTGACGATGGAAAAAAACTGGTTTCAGTATACCAGCTTTACAGCCATACATATTAACTTGGGATTAGTTGGTTTACTATACAGTATGGTTATATTGCGATATCAGTGTGAACCTAACAGCAAAGTACACGTTAAATCAACATATCACAAAACGTTGCACAACAGTGTTTGCTTTATATAGTCATAAATGTTTATGTAGAAATGTATAGGGTTTTCTTCGATTCAGCAAAGATGTCCTGATAGAGCAGGTCTAAACCGAAGTCCTTGTGTTACCTTGCTGCCCCCTGCTTTCCATATAAATGAGATGTTTCCATTCACACACAGGCCATGTATCATCAAATGATATGTGAAGCAGACAATGAAGCGGTAGACACGCATTGAATTGATAAAAAGGGAGGGGGGGGGGCGGTGCAGGGTTTGAACTGAACAATTCTAGTACCTAAAGGAATACTAATAGGCAGATGATCAAAGCTCACCTCTACACACACTTTGGATTGTAATTGAAAATATGTACGTGTACAGCCCTTTCCAATCCACTGCGGGATAAGGGACTCCCGCATGCCATGCAGTGGATTCTTTGACCATACTTCACCAAGCTGGTTAGTGTAGTTGGTTAAAGTGGGCAACACATGTGGGGAGCATAAAAGTGCAGCACAACAATGAAGGTTAATGCACCGCACTTTGCTGCTTACTTCACAGCCCCCAAAAACGGTAACATGTTAACTCCCTCGCCTGGTATGCAGGAGGTCGTGCTTTCAATCCCGACCCTGACGCCTGGATATTTAGAGTTTGCGGTGTCTCTCTCGCGCTCCTTGTGGATTTTCTCCGGTTTTCCCCTCCACATTTAGAAACGTGCGTTTCGAGTATTTTTGGCTGCTAGAAATCTTCACGTGATAAGCCACTTCGTTGCGCTATCATTTGTGGCAAGGCCGCTTCTGAAAAAGAGATGTCATTGTAGCCGAGTGGATCTTACCTGGTAAAAAAAAAAATAGTTTATATAACAACCTGTTTGCCATAAATGTTTATGCTATGCGGAGCGAGCTCATCGACTAAAAGGGAAACAAGGGTGCAGAACATTACACCCGATGCCCTTGCTCATTGTGCGGGCTCCATTATCGGGGACACCACAGGCTATGATGGGAAGCCCATTCCCACTCTCGCGCAGTGCAGCATATTTAACCCCACAGCCTCTACATTGTCCCTCCGCTAACCACCACCACCACCACTTGTCAACTACACTTGCAATCTGGATGAGGGCCTCCCCACACCGTGCATTTGACCATACTTCACCGTACCCCTCTGTAGGAATCCGATGAACCACACAAGATGTTTTTAATCTCACAGATGTCCAGTAGTGGCAGGTCAGGAACGTTACAACAATGCAGAAACATGATAGGAGTGCAAAGTATACGAAAGGTAAATACACTTAAAAAATGTATACGGATAGGTTTAAAGAGGGCAGTATTGAGGTGGGAGTAAGTACAGTACAATGGGTTTTGGTGCACTGTGCTCTGCTGCCCACAGTGTAATCCGAAGCAGACTATATAACTATTTACTTTATTTTCTGACAAAATTGGGCACATTCCAAGCGATTTGGTCATAGGAAGCTCACTGAATATGTACAGCAATCGTAAATGTGATGGCAATAACTGCGTAGCATTACACAGTATATAAACATTGTATTGTACTCTGAAAAGCCAAAGCAGTCTATTGACAAGCCTTCAAGGTCACGGTTGATAAATTACATTCAGTAGCATTCAATAAAAAACAGCATCTGTAGGGTATACTGTACTATACACGTTTAAAATATTCGCCAATTATGTGCATTCGTAGAATTTGGTTTCAAAATGAATTGCAAAAACACTACGCGTAGGTTTGTCAAAGCATTTAATGGATTTCGCATTGACATGCAGACAGGGGTCTTCAACGCCATCCATATGCAAAGCCACTCCATAATGAAAGCACGTTTAAGATGTAAATGGCGAGGAAGCTCCAACAGGGGGTTGAAATCGAAATGAAGAACGTCAGATTTTGCAAAATGGCATCGCCAATCCGTAGGTAAGGAGGGTGGTAGACCACGGGTTACGGAAACGTAAAGGCAACAACGCTCATCTTAAGCAGAAACAACAGGACACAGTGCGTCCGTTCTAAATCACCCAACATGCCCCGTGTCTACACATGGCTAATGCTGCTGTCTTCCTATTCACGTGGGTGATGTCCTCCTGTGGACATTTGAAAAGGCCCCTACTACCCACGCCACTAGGTAGGTTCACACAAACAAGGCTGATTTGCTGGCTTACTAAATCATGGGGGCTGCGTGTGGTGGTGGTGGTGATGGGGGGGGGGGTACAGATACAAGCTGCGAAAACGTAACGCCACAACAATCATGATCTTAACTGTAGCAACAACATAACACCGGCGTTCGAACCCATCCCCCCTCTCCTACTCATTCCACGCAAGGCTGACAAAGCTGATGCTTGCTTGGCTTCCTCTCTGTTCACACAATAGCAGCGACTGGCTTCCTCACAAATCCCGTGAAGTGGGTTAAAGGTTATTGAAACGCCTCGATTGTTGTGGTGGTTGGGAGCCAAAGCGGCCACAGTGTCGTTGACATAAAATGTGCAGTCTATATTTTTTTCTTATACAAGTTGGTCGGTGTGACAATGGGGGGCTTTGTAGCCCACGTTTAACCTTCGTTTGACGATTAAAGGTTGAGGAGCTGCACACAGTGTGTACGTTCATTTCACTCTGTACTGTATTAGAAAAAAAAAGTTAAACGACATTAAAATCAACTTGGTCAACGCGGGAGTGCAAATTAACTTTTTCTAGATTTGAAGTTTTCGTGACTGCAGAGGATCCATATTATTTGGTTCTTTCGGTAAAGTCACGTAGATGAAAAATTAAAAAAATATTAACATTATTTAAATGATTTCTTTTCATTTTATAATTTTTATTATTTTATTTTTATCTACGTGACTTTACCGAAAGAACCAAATTAACTTTTGGTTGCTGGCCAACATTTGTGAGCAAATATTCAGCAATTTCCTCATTGAATTGAGCACCAGTGGACCACTGCCGACATTTCCTGCCGACGTTTGTTTGGGTTTATACTTTAGTCTACATTCGGTAAAACCTGTAATTCCTTATTAACGAGAAGGTATGAGAATCCGGCCTGCCTATGGGTTGCGTTTGACGTATCGTGAATGGTGCAAACGACTTTGAAATAAGTCGAGCCCGGCTTTAGAGGCGGCTTCCTCCTTGGGTCACCCTCGCCGTGACTGCCACCACTAAACTGTGGATTTTATAATTATTATCGTACGATACCAAGTAAACGTTAATGTCAGCAATGTCCACATCCTAGGAAAAGTAAAACATACCTTTTAAATAAATTCAATTAACCAGCTTTACAACAGCTAAACCTTATTTGTTAAAAACATTAAGGGTGTGTTGTTTAAAGCGCTGCAATTTGTAAAGTCTCAATTCCATGGCTTTACTTGGAAACATTTCGGTAGAATACTGCTTTAAACATAATTCACATTTTTTTCTTCTTGGTTCTTTCGGTAAAGTCACGTAGAAGGGAAATAAAAAAACAATAATTTTATTTTATTGTTTTATTTTTCTTATTTTATTACTTCCCTTCTACGTGACTTTACCGAAAGAACCAACAAGATGAATCCTTGCAGTCACGAAAGCCTTTAAATTTAAATATAAATTTACATTGTCCGATGGAACAACAAAAACCTGTCTTTCCAGCTTCGGCTCAACAACATCACAGCCCCCCCCCCCCCCCCGTGGTTTGCATTAAAACAAATCTGACAAGTTTACTGGAACCGATGTAACGAATTCAATTTAAATTCTAATTAAATATATCCCTCTAAAAAGGGGCCCACAATGAGTGCCACATCCAAGGAGGTTTAACAGCAGAGAGCCAACGCAGACGTCTTCTTGCACACACGACTCTGTATACACATTAAAGGCTAAGAATACAACAAGTCAACAACAATATTTAAACAATAAAACAATTAGACGTGGCACGAAGTTAAACGCACGCTTTGCACCTCTTTGTCAAAACACAACAGCTGTCCCCAGACGTAACAATCTCTCTCATCGCTACAGACAAGGGGCCCGGCCACCCTTCCACCACGTAACGACATTTATTTTATTTTCCACGAGTTTATATCACCGCCCGTTCTTAAAGTTGCATTGTGTTGTTGTCCCCTTTCAATGCGGGATTATTGACGAATGTGCGTCGAGTTGCGTAATGTATAGCGCGCTGCGTAGCGGGCCGTCGTTTTAGTTTCGTCGTAAGTCGTGAGTCCCCCCACTCCCCGTGTCCCCCCACTCCCCGGGCGCCCTCAGTGCGCGGCGCAGCGAATTGCTGCTGCGCAATCGCCCTTGAGCGGCACGGGCGGGTGGGGTGCCCCGAGGGGGGTTTCTCGTCTCTCCACTCACCCAGAATACGAAGCTCAAGAACACCAGCACGGTCTTGGACGACAAGATTCCGCAGCTCGCCATGGTTCGAGCCGGCGAGTTGCGGTAGGGACGGAAGGAGACGAGAGACGACGGGAGGAGGCGCGGGAGGCTGAAGGCGGCTGCTGCGTTCTTTACAGCGACTCGGAGACACGACGAACACTGCCCGGCGCGCACTGCGCATGCGTGTAGAACGCCCCGCCCCTTCCCCCATTCGCTCCTCCCCCCCCCACCCCGCGATGACGTCACGAAGAGGCGCACGTGCCTATGAGAAACGCGTGGTGGAGAGATAACTTCTCTTATCTGCTGGATAACGCCTCTTATCCGCAATTACTCTTACGTGCGACTCCTGTTATTCACGGGATAATTTGTCCGCTGGATAACTCCCTTCACCTGCGACCCCTTTATCCGTGGGATAACGCCTCTAAATCCACGACTCATCTAGCGGGTTAACTCTTATCTGTGACTCCTATTACCCACAACTCTTATTATCAAAGTGATAAATTATTAACCACCATATTGTCTGTGACTCCTCTTATCCGCAGGAGCTGAAGGGTCCGTGCAAACTCATTTTCAGAGAGCTCCCAACGCGAGCAAAGACAGCTCCCAATTTCTGTTAACCGTCGTTTTCCCATGGATAAGTGAAGTCAAATGGCCGATAAACCCGGTTCTGCGATATTGGTTCTCCACATCACAATGGACAAGTTGAGTTACAAAAACACGCGTAAAACGAAATGTCGTAAATCGGAATGGCTTTTCCCATGAATGTAATACTAAAACTGAGGGATATATTTCGGACAGTGATTTCAACTCTATATACGGCCAAGGCAACAAAGGAGTGGCTCAAGAAGAAGCACATAAAGGTCCTGGAGTGGCCTAGCCAGTCTCCAGACCTTAATCCCATAGAAAATCTGTGGAGGGAGCTGAAGTTTAGAGTTGCCAAACGTCAGCCTCGAAACCTTAATGACTTGGAGAAGATCTGCAAAGAGGAGTGGGACAAAATCCCTCCTGAGATGTGTGCAAACCTGGTGGCCAACTACAAGAAACGTCTGACCTCTGTGATTGCCAACAAGGGTTTTGCCACCAAGTACTAAGTCATGTTTTGCAGAGGGGTCAAATACTTATTTCCCTCATTAAAATGCAAATCAATTTATAACATTTTTGATATGCGTTTTTCTGTATTTTTTTGTTGTTATTCTGTCTCTCTGTTCAAATAAATCTACCATTAAAATCATAGACTGATCATTTCTTTGTCAGTGGGCAAACGTACAAAATCAGCGGGGGATCAAATACTTTTTTCCCTCACTGTACATCCATATCACTTTTCACAATATAATATTAATAACGAACATAAATATGGAACGATTGAATACACATCTATATTTAAAACGAAAATAATATTTGCAGGGAACTCGCCAAAAGATCTGCTTCTTGTTTGACGTTAAATAATAAATAACCTTAATCTGTATGCCTCACAAACCTCTAGGGTACTTCCTAACAAGGTAGAAAGTTGAAATGTGTTACATAGGTAGTTTTAGGATACAACAGAAACAATCTGAAAAATCTGAGATATTTCGTTTTAAGACCCCCAAATCTCGATTTTATGTTGCCCATACACATGTGTGTGCCTAAGATTGCAGGGTGTTTTCGTTTGATAGAGCATTAAACAGCAAATAAAAATAAAGCGATAACCATTGTTCTATATTGTATTGTTTTAAGATATTTTGGATTAAAGCAGGTTAGAACGAAAAATACGCATTTTATTACGTTAAAATCTGAATAATTCGAAAAGGGTAAAAGATAGGAGCTTCCCCTCAGAGTATTAAGTTCATAAATGTTAAGTTCATAAATAATAAAAAAAAAGAACGGAATCTTTAAATGTATCAGTTTCCAATGGATATGTCTTTAAACATAAGAAGTTGAATCAAGTCGTCAACAATTTAGTATTGTAGAAAAATACAAATTTTTTGGAGTAGTTGGTAGTGTCTGATCGGAGATACAGATGGTAAAAAATAATATCAGGTTCATCATTCTATTTATTGAAAACTTTTGCCTGGCAAAGATAGGCTTTACGAACTAGTAACGTTGAAAGTGCTTTAACGCGAAATTTCGTAAACCACATTTTTGTAAATCGAGGGATACCGGTCTTGAGTGTTTGCTTGAACAAGTGAGAGTGACAAAATGGCTTAAAAAATCTAGTTGACAGGGAAAATACGCGAATATTTTTAAAAAATGTAATTAAATAGCTTGACAACTATTTAATCCAGTATTCTTATGAATAAGCTCGCTTCCAGCCATAGTCAGACAGAATTCCCACATTTGGCTAAGGGCTCTAAACAGGAGATGCATACTCCTTCAATGATCATTTGAGCAAGAAAGTGCAAACGTTAATAAAAATCCCAATGTCATTGTTACATTACCATTTTTTTATTAAGTGAGGTTTTATTTTTTACTAATAAAAATGCATATGTATGGTTTCTGTAATACTTTCCAACATGCATTTGCCCTCGGAAGTAATTTTAGAAATGTATGCCCACGACAGTAATTGTTTTTTTTTGCTGTGGTTGTCCCACCCGATGACGGAAGCTTGTGTTGCCTCCGAAACATCGTGATTTTATTTAGTTATCTTTTTTCACCTACGTGACTTTACCGAAAGAACCAAAGAGTATGTATCCTTTATTTACTTTGTATTGTAACTTGCTGACCCGCCCCTATTGCACATCTGTGAAAAAGAGATTCAAAGCTCATAAGATTCCTCCAGGGTAAATAAGATTCTTATTAGGATGTGGCAAAGGTAATTATTCTTGTGTTTACTTTATTCTCATGCAGCCGGTCCGCCCTGTCCCGTCTCCTCCCGTCGTGAATCCTTTCGAGGGGGGGGGTGGGGATAACAATAGACTCTGCGTTGTGTTCTGTCCTGTGGGCGACTCGACGACAGCTGAACACCAGGGGGTGGGGGGGGGTGTGAAACTGCAAAACTTTATTTCAAAAGTCCTCTACCCCCCACGTCACAACAGCTGAATTCCTCGGTCCCGAAGATAGCCCAAATGTAAATTTGGGGAATTCCTCGGTCCTGAAAGAAGCCCAAATATAAATGGGTGGTGTGCCTCTTACTCTACTGTGCATGTTGGGGCCAATCCTTGATCACCGTTGCCTGATCTTAAACACTAACAGAACGTACCTGACTCTCCACAGCTGCGCAAAATGGTTTATTCGGTTCCCATATGCTGCAGAGTGCAAATTATACGTGTGATTAATCACGCGTGAGCTCACACCGACTACATTTACTGTGATATTTAAGTACAAACATGGCATTTAACAAGACATTGGAACAAAACATATAAGCAAGGTGAGATGGATACTTGAAATTACACTTTGAAGCAGAAAGGGGGATGCTTAGGTCAGGCAACAAACACAAATGCAAGACGTTATTTGTCTTCATCCAGCAGTGGATATCACATGGCTGATTGTGAGTCAATTGGGTTTACTTTGATCTCGCCCAAATAACCTTGTCTGGGATGGTGCAGGGACCCAGGTAGGAAAACCAGGTCTGCATCAGGCGTGGTCCTGGGGCACTTCGGCTTTTTACGTTTAAATGTAGAGACTAAGTAATGAGACGACGTCAATATTTGCGTTTGTTTGATTTGTTACACGGATGATCCAGTTTAGCCAGTTTCCCAGCTATTTTACAAGGGAGATCCAGTGGTGTGTGAGCACGGCACATCAACAAATACAAAATACGAACATTAATATTGCAGAGAGCAAGTACACGATCCTGAAGGAATATTGCACAACCAACAGAAGGTATTTAACAATCGTAAACAAAAGACAGGCAAATAAAAAAAAACGCAACAAATATGAGCGCAAGGGGAGCCATACAAAAGTTAGGTGCAATGTGCAAGTAAGTTCTGTATTTTGGTCTCGTCTATTAAAGCCCGCCATTCCGTTTGTCCGTCATCTAAATGATAAAAGCCTTTCAGAAGGTCTGAATCAAAAAGTTATATAAAGTGGACCCCCCAGCCAGATGTGGGGGTAATACGTTGATCCAACAGGTTTACAACAATTGTCCACCCCCCCCAAAAAAACGAACTCCCCCCCCCCCCACCCCGTGGTAGAAATGTACCATATTCAGGTGGAGTTGAGGTAGATTACAGAGTTTGTTTCTGTAAAGAAATCCAATTGAGTGTTTTATCTTAATGGCCATGTGATCAATATGGGTCTTGAAAGGAAATTTCGAGTCCAGGTTAATGCCTAGATATTTTAAGTTGTCGATCTGCTCAATAAGGTGTGAGTTCAGAGCAGCTATGTGCATAGGTGGCGAGACAGGTTTGAAGCAGTCTGAGAATAACATTGTTTTGGTCTTTTAGCATTGAGGACCAGGTTTAGGGCATTCAGTTGAAGATGATCAAAGTCCTGTTTTAGATGCTGTTGTAACTCACCCATGGAATTTTCGGAGACCATCAGGGCTCTGTCATAAACATAAAGATGAATAATGCCAGAGTGCAGATTAGAGATGCCAATATTGTTGACGTACAGAGAAAACAGGATAGGGTCAAGCACAGAGCCCTCAGGAACTCCCTTAACAATGGGGGTACTTTCAGATGATATTTTATTAATGGAGACACATTAAAAATGGTCAGAATAGTTGTAAATCCAGCTAATTGCACAATCCAAAAATAAAATGCATTTTAGCCTTTACAACATTACAGCGTGATCCACGGTGTCAAATGCTTTAGAGAAGTCGAGGAATAGGATAACACAATGACGACGAGATTCAAGACTGTTGAAGATAAAGTCAAGCACATCGAGTACCGTAGAGGCTGTGGTCTATTTATTTATTATTTAAAAACCAGATTGGTTAGGACGGAATATGGCATATTTTCATGTGAAATTAGTGATTTGGGACTCAGATTGTTCTCAAACATCTTGATGAGAGGATTGAGATGAGGCAGTGATTTTTAGGAAGCCATTGGAACTGTGCGCTTTTAAATCTAGATTAAAAACTAATTTCTTTAGAACTGCTTTTGTGTTAAGTTTGTTGTCCTTCCCCGCACTTTCGATCAGCATGGTTGGCTAGTTCAACAGACATACGTGCAATTGTTTTGGTTGTCTGCAGGTCAAACCACATATCTGCTTCTTCTCTCGTACTGCATGAGTTTGAAATTTCCTCCCAACG